AGCTTTCTGCAGATCAATCTTAATTGCACATCTAGGGGAAAGATTCTTCCTAGAATATCCTTTAACAATCTCTTGGGCTAAAAGGGTGTTATCAGTAATGCTTCTACCCTTTACAAAAGCTGACTGACTAGCTGAGATCATGCCAGTGAAAAATTGGGCTAATCTAGTGACCAAGATCCTAGTGATAGTCTTGTAAACAACAGAACAACAAGAAATGGGTCTAAACTCACTTGCCATGCAAGCATTCAAAGCTTTTGGCACTAGGACAATTGTAGTGGCATTAAAAGCTTGTAATAAGCAAGAAGTATTAAAGAAATACCTCACAACACTTATGAAATCCTTGCTAACTATCCCCCAAGCAATCCTGAAGAACCAAGATGTATATCCATCAGGCCCTGGACTTTTGTCTTTCCCCTGCCTGAACAAGGCTTCTTTAATTTCCAAATCTGAAACCTCATCAATCAGGACTCTATCAGCACCAGTAGTCAAGAAGTAATTCAGAAGGTCCCTTAACCACTCAGGCTGGCAGCCCTTAACCAAGGGATCAACTGCCCCAATGAGCTTGCTGTAAAACTCTAATAACACTGCTGCCATTCCTTCAAAGGTTTCTAGATACTGCCCAACATCATTCTTAATAATCCTTATAGTATTTGTCTTCTTGCGAGCCTGAACTTTTCGGTGAAAAAACTTTGTATTTTGATCCCCATCCTGCAACCAATGCATCTTTGCTTTCTGTTTATAAAAATCCAACTCAGCAGTTTCAAGGCTAACCAAATCTGCCTGGATCATTCTTTCTTCTTCAATTCTAGATTGATTAGCACCAGCCATGTTAGATAATTGGATACACTTAAGTTCAGCCCTCTTAGCTACTACCCTAGCAAAAATATCATTCTTAGATAATTGTATTAGAAAATTACTCTTCAATATAACGTAAGTAAAATATTAGTTGAAGTTATCTCGTCTATTTTTCAAAAACTTCAATTGTTATGTGATATTCGTTGATATATCGCTGGATCGATTGAAAATTATTCTTATGCAATTAAAATTTCATTGTAGGAAGACAACTCTTATATCTTTAACATCGCTAACAAAATTTATAACAATAATTTTTCTAAAGTTTTAAACTTCAAACCATAGTTTTAATACTACTAGTTAGAAATTTATAAATGAAAAGAAATTAAAGTTGAGATTGACATAAAATATATAGCACAAGAGATCACGATGAATATAAATACGTGATATCTTATTTATTTTAAAATCTGATATATATATCAAAACATTTTTTTAACATCCATCCCCATAAAATTAATCTCTCTAATGTAAACTCTAAATTTAGAGGACTGTAAAATATTTAAATATCTCCAAAATAATTTTCTCATGACTCTAAATATTAAGAATTGATTTTTATTTATATTATTAAATATTTGGTTACTGAGAATTTTGATTCTAATAAAAATTTTGAATTGAATAAATTTAACCATTAAGTAATTTTTTATCACTATAATCATAATAAAATTTAAGTTAATTTTCTATTGTAATTTCTATTAACATCTAACAGCAATGATCTATCTATTTGTTACAAAAAAAAAATGGAGAAAACAGTTTGTGTGTAATATCTATTGCTAATTTTACAAGCTTAATTGTTTACTTTGGAGGAAACTCATTTGCATATGATCAACCTTGTACCTAAAAGCATCGACTTAATCAATGTCCATAGCTTTTAGTTATTAATAGAACACAGCATCACATGCATGGTCCTTGACATGTATCTATCTTTGTTTTTGGTTTTTATGAACGCATTACTGTAATATTATTAAATAATTGGGCATTTCACCTAGTTGTTATGGATTTAGCCTGCAAGATATGACTTGTCTTTCTTTTTTACAAAGAAATACCAACTTTGAACGTACCAAAAACATAGATTTTCGATTTTGCATTAAAAAATTAATTCAAGTATGAAGCTCAAGAAAAAAAATACTTCGTTTATGTTATTAGAGGTCACACCCAAAAAAAAATTACAAAAGATGTATCTTTATTAAAAAAATATTTCATATAATGGACAGAGAGTGAACTTTATTCGGTTTAATTTTTGAGTTATTTAATTTTTTTATCTTTACTTGATTCATGTCAAAAGAACAAAGATGATTATGTCAATTAACAATAACGGAGATATGTGTATGGTTGGGGCTTTTGTCCTCTATTTTTTTTATTATATATTTAGACCTTCAAATTTTGGTTTATTTTAATTTTGTCCCTTATTTTGGTTTATTTTGATTTTGCCTTCTCATTTTTTATTGTTAGTTATGCTTTATTCCTTTTGAATTAGAATCTTGGCTCCGTCCCTGTCGGTTGATGACAATTTATTTATTTTAGATTGGAAGGAGAGTTATAATCGATAATCGATCGGTGGTCGGTTGGTAGTACAAAAGAGTTATTGATAGAAAGAAGAAAGTGAGTCTGAACTATAAGATCTCTTTTTGATCAATTTGGAGGTTGTATATTAATCTTTATTGTTGATGTTAGGAGTTAAACTATAATGATTATTCGCAGACTGACATGATAGGTAGATTTTACTAATGTGGTTGACTGTCCATTAATATTAACAGTGACAAATGTCTGCCATGATTTATATCTAGAATGGTGATTTTTTAAGAAATACAAGATTTTGAATCTCTTATATCTTATGTCCGGAGATATTCCTCCGCTACGAGAAGATCTTAATGTGCGGAGCAGAAGGAACTCAAACGAAGTATAACAATCCATATTTAAGTTGAACGTATTAAATGGATCGTTGGATCTATCCGACCCATAACCAGATAAAATTGCTTACATATGAACACGTGAGAAAAAGGTAAAACAATTAACACCAGAGGTTGACAAAAACCAGAAAAGGTATAGTTTGGGGTTGCCAAATTAAAAACCAAGTGTAAATCAAAGAGATAGTTAGGCTAATGATCACATCAACAACGAGGGTTTACACCATCATTCCACGCCAACAAATCAAAGACTTGGAAAGATAGAGACTTGTGTATGTGTTAGGTTGGCAGGGAGATTATTATCCCCTCTTCAATTCTTCTTACCAGCCAAAATGATTTACTAAAATGCTTTGAAAATCTTACAGTATAAACCCCATTTACCTTTGCTACATAGTCAAATCCAAGAAGATTATGAAAGAATAAAATTATATGTAAAACATTCACCTTAAAGTAGTTTGACTGTTTTTTTTCTCTTTGAAAAGGATGAGCCAAGTGGACGTGGTTGGGGGAAAATGACCTACTCTGTGAAATCCCAGTCTAAATTGCTGCATGAAAGCAACAAGTCACTTCCCAAGTGGACGTGTAAAAAGAAGCGAATGTCAAAAGGAGTACTGAAATTAGAAAGAAAAACACAGACTAGGCTCCAATTAGCCAAACTTTCAATGATCAAAATATTTCGAGTATTAATTGAAATGGGTATTTTTTTTATGTAACATTAAAGTGAAGGTTTTATTGTCAAACTTTGCGCCAACAGGAAGTGGAAGAATTGGTCAAAGTTTTAATTCCACTACAGCTCTACAAACTCTTGATTCGTGAACTCGTGCAGGGAATTATGCATAAAAGTAAATCAATTTGGCCTTGATTGACGCTCCCGGAATTCGGCCGGAACCCTAAATTTATTGCAATACTAACAAACATGCCCAATTTTACATATATACGACTTTGACTTCCTTTTTAGGATAGTCGAGATAATCGCAGTTTTACATGCCCACTAGTGATTTGGAGACGGATTTCAAAAAATATTTTCTTTTGATAATGTAAGTTAAAAATACGCAACCCTTAAGCCAATGTCATACAGATATATCAAAACATGAACCTGTGAAAGAATAAATGTACAATTACCGGGGAAACCTGCAGCTAGGTTTCTTGTAACACTTGACGAAACCTGGGTTTAGGAATTTCTCTGTTTACTTTTGTCTTAAGCTATGTTAGTTTGATTCAATTGAATTTTAATTTTCCAAATATTGAATAAACTTTAAAATAATTGAATATTTGTATTTGTAGCTATACTTAATTTTTTTGGTCCATTATACAAGGCATATGTTGTGGGATGATTGGGCATGCCATGGTCTCTCTTTTTGGTTCTGTAACTAAAATTTTTGATGAGTTGGTTCTTATAATTTGAGGCTTGGAAAAACAATTTATATGTTTCAAGTTGAACCACATATTTAATTATGGTTCTCTTGAGTAGGGACTGACGCATAATTTTATGTTTGGGGTGACCGTAAACTTAAAGTGAACTAACTAAAATTTCAAGATAAAAAATACATTTTCAATAGAAATAATCTAAAATAAATCTAAAATATATTACGATTATTTTAAATTTTTAAATGGACGACTGTTTATACCCACCTTCCTCTCAATCCATCCTGCTCTTGGGGAAGGACAAGGCGAACACTGGAAGTTTATCTGATGTTCATTTTTGTATACGTTTTTGCTTAAGGAACCAGATTTAAAGGTTTTTTTAAAAGGCGAATTACATCTAAAGTCACGTTTAAAGCTGAAAAATATATGGAAAAAGAAATAAGCGATACATATTTGATGCATCATCAATATTACAACATACACGAAAATGTGAATTTAAACATACTTAATCGTATAGTATTCTCTAATTTATTAACTGGCATTAATTAAATCTTACCATTCGTTATCCTTCCATATCGGGCAGGTGGTGACGTGGCCTTGTAGTGAAGCTAACATAGCCATCCACCGTCAGCTGCAAGTATCCAATGAAGAATTTAAGGAGGCCGAAGTGAAAATGGGGAGGCACGTGAGATACCGACACTTCGACACGTTGTAGCTTTAAATTCCATATCAGTTAGCGACTGCTTGAAAACTGAGAAAACCAACATGTTTTAAAGAGTTGGGCAAAGTATTATAACATCACCATTGACCCTCCCATTTAACCCTTAATTCTTATTATTTCCCCTATATAAACACCGCGCCATCTGAGTTTTCTTTCATCGACTCCATTTTCGTTTCTCCCAAACAGGGGAAAACTGAAACAGAATCATTATCATTACTGTAACAGAGAGAGGAAGAGAGAAACACCAGTAATGGGGTTCTCTAAGAGATTCTTTTCTTCGTTTGCTTTGCTAATGCTTATTTTGTTTTTCGTTTGTTTCACTGTCATGGCCTCAGAAGACAAAACTGAGCTGAATTCAAGGTACATTTTCCCTGGAAACAATCATCTGATGTTTTTGAGTTCTCTCTTTTTCCTTTAGCTTTTGCAGTCCAGGAAAACATACCTTGTTTCAATGCAACTAGTAATTTTCTTTTCAAAATAAATTTCCTTGTTGTTGTAATGACAGGCTGGGTGAAGAAAACAAGTTACAGAGCTTGAAGAACTCATCAATGGAGGAGGAGTGGATAAATGAGCACTCGGTTGAGAATCCAGAGGAAGTTGCTTCAATGGTGGATATGTGAGTAATGTCATCATAGTTTTGCATTAATGTTTGTTTCCTAGGAAAAATAATATAGAAATTCTGTTAAATCTTTGAGAAGAGGCTTGATTCAGATGGAACCCCACCACACTTGCCATGCATAAGTAGTTTCTAACAGGTCCTTTGCCTCTTCACCATAGCATGTAGTTCCCCCCCCCCCCCCATGTTTCTCACTTTGGGTAGTCAAAATTACATTTCACCTGGGGATTTACATTACATTTTATATTATATTATGTTTATCGCGATTAGATAATAATAGATTTATTAAGATTATAATAAATATCGTAATCGTACAATAATATTTTTGAACGACATTTTATATTCCAATAATAGGCCGCTACAAGTATTTTTTTTTTCGTTTTCGGTAGCAATCAATGGAGCAATAGCTTCGCCCTTCTCTTACATCGTTACTTTAACTACCCTAATAAATGATTGCCAGTTTGTGTTCTGCTCCACCTCCACTAAAACTCTTTTAACTTATAAAGCGGTAGTAAGTTGTAGTATAAATTTAATGCATCAAATCACCAAAATGGTATTTTTTAGGGATTCTTGAGGAATCCATTACTATTACCATGTTCTTAACTGGTACAAAACTGTATTTTTTTTCTTTTAACTTTGTCGCCACCTTAATCACATTACCCTGTCCTGAGATCCGGGCACCTCGCCCTTGATTGATTCTACTATGACTTTAATATAATTAATTATATATTTAGATCAAATGGAGTTATCAGGTTAGATGAAGTTCTTCTAAAGCTGAATTAAATGAAGTAGAAAAACTTCAGAATGAGTGAAAATTCTGGTATATGGTCCTTAGGGGACAGACTGTCAAGTGAGGCAATGAAATAGAAAAATCACAGATCCTAGATCTGCATTAACTGACAAACCTCCCGCCGCACCGACGCCAAAATAGAGCAGGCAGCTATTAGTTTCCACCTTATCATTCCATATTATTTTTTTTATGTACCAAACAATTTCTATTATATTTATCGAATTCTCCGTATGGACCGTATGTACATCTCCCACGAAATGTCACATGGCCAACTCAGCTCGACTGATGCTTCTTTAACACATTAATTTTATCATTAACATCGTCCATCATCGTTTAATACTAATTCCAATTTTTCACATGCTTAATTCACTCTAGTTCATTTAATTAACCTACTATATCTTCCTTCTTTTCAGGAGCATAAGAAACAGTACAGAGAGGAGGAGATTGGGATATTTCTCATGTGGAACAGGGAACCCGATTGATGATTGTTGGAGGTGTGACCGGCGTTGGTACCTCAGGCGAAAGCACCTAGCAAACTGTGCTATCGGCTTTGGACGCAATTCCATAGGTGGCCGTGATGGGAGGTACTACGTGGTAAGTAACCCAGGGGACGATGACCCCGTGAACCCCAAACCGGGCACCCTCCGCCATGCCGTTATCCAGGACCGGCCGCTGTGGATCGTGTTCAAGCGTGACATGGTGATCAGGTTGAAGCAGGAGCTTATAATGAACAGTTTTAAGACCATCGATGGCCGTGGTGCCAATGTGCATATCGCCAATGGGGCTTGCATCACCATCCAGTATGTCACCAATGTTATCATCCACGGTATCCACATTCACGACTGCAAGCCCACCGGCAACGCCATGGTTCGAAGCTCCCCATCTCATTATGGGTGGAGGACCGTTGCCGATGGGGACGGCATCTCGATCTTCGGGTCAAGCCATATCTGGATTGACCATAACTCACTGTCCAACTGTGCCGATGGACTCATTGATGCCATAATGGGTTCCACTGCAATTACCATATCAAACAACTACTTCACCCACCACAACGAGGTCATGCTGTTGGGACATAGTGATTCCTACGTAAGAGACAAGAGGATGCAAGCGACCATTGCTTATAATCATTTTGGTGAGGGTCTTATCCAAAGAATGCCAAGGTAAAAACAAACATCCTTAAAAAAGGTCTCTACGTAATTCATTTTTTTCACATAAACTCGACTCAACTAGAAAATATTACAGGTGTAGACATGGATATTTCCATGTAGTGAACAATGACTACACACATTGGGAAATGTATGCCATCGGCGGAAGCGCGAATCCAACCATTAATAGCCAGGGAAACCGTTACCTTGCCCCTTTCAACCCCTTTGCCAAAGAGGTTACAAAGAGAGTGGAGACCGGAAACAAATGGAGACAATGGAATTGGAGATCGGAAGGAGACTTGTTTTTAAACGGAGCGTATTTCACTCCATCGGGAAGCGGTTCGGCAGCCAGCTATGCGAGGGCCTCTAGCTTAGGGGCCAAGTCATCTTCCTTAGTTGGCACAATTACTTCAAATGCAGGCGCCCTTTCTTGTCGCCATGGCTTCATGTGTTAATCCTCCTCCGTACAGAAGAAGATGAAAAAACAACTCATTTTTTTTCTTCATATAATATCATTTTATATCGTAGTGTTCCGAGTTATCGACCCTATATATTATTTTGATCAATCCCTTTGACAGGTGTACACAAATTTGTAGAAATTGGTCCTTATTTCTCTCCCTTGTATACCAAAACATCTCACTCGTCATTGGATGCCATTGATCCACCATGGCCACCATAAGGTGCCATTGGGTTGTTCACTTCTACATTGCTTCTCTTTTGTAATTATATATTTTCCATAGTTTATTGTTACGCTTTTGGTTTGCTTTTATTTTCATGGGCCTAATTTGATTCTCAAAACCTCGTTAGTAGTTACTGAAATGTAAAATCCCCGCAATGATGGTTTTTAATAGTGTATAAATTTCGACGTTTAAATATTTAACTGAATTCCTAATTCCATAAATTCAAACAAAAAATTGGATAAATTACGTGTTTAGTACCTAAATTATTAATTTTGATTTGTTTTAGTACTTAAACTTTTGATTTCCTCAAAACCATACCTAAAGTTTTTTTGTTTCATTTTAGTACTCGTTGTTAAATATTTTAGTTTTTATTTCATTTTAGTACTCTGTTCAAAATTTAACATTAAGTTTTGAAAAAAATTGAAAGTTTAGGTCTCAAACGGACAAAAATTGATAGTTTAGGTACTAAATGCGTTAAATTTTTATTGGTGAGTACAAAAATAAAATGAAAACTAAACATTAGGTATTGTTTTGAAAATTTTAAAAGTTTAGATACTAAAACGGATCAAAACTAATAGTTTAGGTACTAAATGCATAGTTTACCCAAAAAAAATTTAAATTATATTATAAAACTCGTGTATTAAACTAAATTATAAAATTTAGGATAAGCTACACAAATGGTCATTAATATTTGAGTAAGTTTATATTTTCCCACTGAAGTATCAAAACTAACAAATTAATTACTAATATTATGATTTATTTCAAATCAGCCACTCTTCATAAACGGCCGTTACTGCAGAAATAGAATGCAGATGTGGCACATTAAACCAACTCACTCAATGTGTTTGACTGATAATTTGACTTTTCTTCTTCTTATTTTTCTTCTTTGTTTTTTTTTTCAGTTTAAGGAATATTTATTTCGCTCTACATTCTTACATAATCAAAGTGCAATTGATCATTGAAATCAGGAATGATAAGGGTCTCTTTCTGAAAAATTTCAGAACGTTAATGAAAAGAATGACCAAAAAGATAATGAGAAATACTAGAATACTTTAACAAAACTGAATTTTGGTAAGTTAAATAAGCATGGGAAACACAAGTTCGTTGGACACCAACAATATTCTAGACTCTTTCTGCCTTATTTGGGCAAACACTGTCCTGAACAAGTTTCTCTTGCATATTTTTACACAATCAATAAAATTATATCCTAAGATTTTTCAAGGAAATCCTAGCACGCTGCTGACATCATATTAATAATAAAGATAAGATTGTTTCAAGCACAATTCATGAATCATACCAGACATCATTAGTTTCTTGAATCTTGTAGAAATTAGGATCATCTCGCCTAAAACTAAAGAAGAAGAAGAAGAACGGTCGATTAAACTTGTTGAGCCAACTGATTTAACGTGTCACATCAATATTCCGTTACTGCAGTAACAGTTGTTAACGATAAATGATCGATTTATAACAAATCGATAATGCTAGTTACCAATTTATTATTTTTGAAACTTTAGTGGGAAAAACAAAACTTAATCAAACATTATTTTTGAAACTTTAGTGGGAAAAACAAAACTTAATCAAACTCAGTGGAGTGTGCAGACTACATTGCAATTGACAATTGGTTTTAGCATTTATACATTATAAGTGAATCAACCCTTTGGTTTGGCATGCCCTTAACTCTGATATAGCTTAAGATGTCAACAATTAATTAGTGTTTGGATTTTCAGAAAGTTATAATTTCTTTGGAATTAGGCGAGGAGTACAGCTCGAATTGTCGAGGGGGATGCTGGAAAGGTAATTTGCAAGGAAGCAGAGAGGTTGAAGCCAGCAGCGGTGGTTATGGGAACTCGTGGTAGAAGCTTAATACAAAGGTATGCTTTCCTCTTAATTACATGCTACATCTTTCTATGTGATGTCTGTGTTTGTGTTACCTTGCCCTATCCTGTTCCGACACCCATTTTTTTCTTAAAGTGTCCATGTCCCAACATCCAAATACATGAATATTGATCTTATCCGACATCGATTCGTGAATCTGAGTAACGCAGACTTTTCCAATATCCTACAACATAATGACTCCCTTGTTTCCATTATATTCTCTCATCATATTCATACATTTGCAGTGTTCTTCAAGGAAGTGTGAGCGAGTATTGCTTCCACAACTGTAAAGCCGCTCCTGTCATAATCGTACCTGGGAAAGGTACTATCCCTAATCGATAAGAGTCTTCAAGCTCTTCTGTTTCATTTTATGCATTTGAAATTCTGAAAGATTAACACGTTTTGTTTTCATAACTTGGCAGAAGCTGGAGATGAATCACTGATATAGGAGCTTAACTCGAGGAACCATTGGTCACGTGATTGATTTGTTTGCTTGTATGTAATGTAGATAGCTTGGTTGTTCGTATGTAGTAACTACGTTACCGAGGCACCTACCATACAATTTATTGTGTGTAATTTTATTGGTATTTCGATATTGATTTGCTTGACCAGCAGAACTTATATCCATGGATGTGTTCTTTCCATGATCCACAATAGTCACGGCCTCGATATCAGTTCGATGACATCCATGGATGTGTTGGTGCCACCGCCATTATTGATGTTTTGGTTGTACTTTTGGACTTGCTCTCTGCCTGTTTTCACATGCAATTTTCTGCAATGGGGATCTGAGATTATTGTTGTTTTGATTGTATATGGTGTGGTAATCTTTTGCCTGGTCTTACAATTTACACGCTACCATTTGCATTCATTGAATCAGGCCCTATATTTTAGGGGGAAACCATCACTTTCAGGAAAGCACAAGTTATACATGATGAATGGAAATAAAGTGGACAGGTAACCGGTGAATGACTTTTTTGTAACTCGTATAACGCATACTACTGATGTTGATTTCAGCTACAAGCAGGAGTTAAAAGTAGGGATCCGTATTTATTGAGTCGAGTCAAAAAATTGAGTTATTTGAACTGATAAATTTTATTTTTTTATTTGAATTTTTTGAGTTGTATTGTTAGAGTTTTTGTTTAAATTTAACTATAAATATTTATATACATTATGGTAATATTTTGTTTCAATTTAATTTTTTTTAATAATTATATACAATATATATATATATTTCTTCATAATTTTTCATATAATTAAAAAATTTAAATTGCCATTTTAGTTTTAAAAAAAACATAAATTGCCATTTTTCTCTCTCCTAGATTGTAAGTTTAATATTCAGGATAAAAAAAAATTTCCTACTCCTTCCCCCGGCAAAATCAACTAGATAATGCGTTGAAATTTTTTTTTTCACGAGATAGTGCCCTCGTCAGATTAATTGCTCAGATGGGGTGATCTCTACAGTCCCCATATAGGTCGCCATGCACGTCCAACGACCTACCATGCAATCCATGCAGCCCCCAAAGGTCGCCATGCACGTCCCAACACGCTGGGCATCCGAGGCCATCCGACCGAGGCCATCTGAAAGCATCCGAGGCCATCCGAGAGCATCCGAGGCCATCCGAACGAGCTATGCGAGGACATTCGAGGGCAACCGAGCGAGCTATGCGAGGGAATCCGAGCAACCGAGCGAGGGTAGGTCGCCCGGAGTGCATGGCGACCTACAAGGTCGCCCGGAGTGTAGGTCGCCATGCACTCCGGGCGACCTTGTAGGTCGCCATGTATTCCGGGCGACCTACCCTCGCTTGGTTGCCCTCGGATTCCCTCGCATAGCTCGCTCGGTTGCCCTCGGATGCCCTCGCATAGCTCGTTCGGATGGCCTCGTTCGGATGGCCTCGGATGCCCAGCGTGTTGGGGCGTGCATGGCGACCTGGTAGGTCGCTAGGCGTGCATGGCGACCTACCCCCAGGGACGTGGGACTGTAGAGATCACCCCATCTGAGCAATTAATCTGGCGAGAGCACTATCTCATGAAAAAAAAAAATTCAACGCATTATCTCGTTGATTTTGCCCCTTTCCCCAGATAAAAATTATTTTAAAAAGTATATAATTATTATAAACACTAAGATCTCGAATATTTCCCAAGTCATAATTATTTTCTACTATCATACTGTATTTTGACAATTCAAAATGTGTATACACAATCAACTAAATGGAAAGAGATAAATGGCCATCACTCGTCAACCACCATCTACAAGTAAATATAAACATTCAACAAGTACAAACCCTCTTTTAAGAAAATTTTCACCAGCTTAACTGAATGAATAATCACATAACTTCACATCTACAGCCAAACTTTTGGATCTTCACCATCAGCATTATGAAATTATTATCTAATAATTATCATCAAACACTATCCGATCATCAACGAACAACTATAGCTGGCCAGTTTCATATCATACATTCCCATACATTATACTCCATAAAAATAATACTACGTAGTAGAAATGTCTTTGTAAATAAACTTCAATGTAGTGTTAGACAGAGTAAAAAGTAAAAAAAAAACATACACAGATACAAGAATTATCTGTAGTAATTAAACATGAGAAAGAAAAAAACATTTGACGGAGAAACCAATGTGGCAGCTGAACATCCAATCGGAAAAAAAGGGTCTCAAAATACGATCTTTCATCGTCCACTTGTCCATGCAACAACGAAATATGGTAACGGCTTGCAAATGCACCCCTTTCTCTGTTACCTTACTGTTTGTGTGATCGGCGTCGATAATGCAGCATTGACGGCGGCAGAAGCCGGAGAATTCGTAAGCTGGTTTTTCTGGGACTTCCCTTGTCTTTTGGCCTCCGATTTGGTCCCCGGCTGCCGGACTTTCACTCCTCGTATCAACTGTGATGAGCTCGATTTTAGTTCATTTTTCAGAATGAGAACATATGCCTATCAAAATAAGAGGTGAAATTGTACTTACATATTTGCCACATTTTACATCTGAATATATTACAATGAAATCTCCTTCTTGGAGTCCATTCGTTCTCACGAAATCCCCTGGAATCTCTTAAGCATTAGTATATTAAATATGAAAATTACAATTAAAAAAATGAATAGTCCGATAAGGATCGTATGGTGCATGCACCTGTATTTTCAAGAAGATACATCCTGCTTTTATTGTTTGGCCAGAATCTGAAACTCCATAAAGATTAAGAAGAAAAAACAAAGACAGGAACCAAAAAGGTGATTTAGAACTAATGTTGTGTAAAAGAAACATGTTATCGAAAAACAGCATTAACAAAGCTAAATTTTAGAATACCTATAGCGCATGTTCCAAACTCGAGATGTTCCAATGTCTTCCATGTCTATGGAGATCCCGTCTCTTGCTTTTAACTCTGGAAGATGAGTTTCTGCTTCTTTCTGGTAAAGAAATGCTCAAATTAATCATTATTAAAAAAAAAGACATCGATGGGAACAAGTTTATCTCGTAGTTGGAGCCTGGAGTTTCACCCCTTCTACAATAGCCAACATCCGTTAAGTCACCGGCCGGGATCTCCGTCCAAACCAAAAGGGTTGAACCGCCAACGGCTCAAGGAGATAAACTTGTTACCATCAATAAGACTCAAATCATAATCCATTAATAATTATCCTACCTTTGGCAGCACTATTCTTCCTAGATTTCCCACATCGCTCTGCTTCAGAACTTTTTGCAGAAGAAACCGCAAATTCTTCTCCAGTTTCCATCCCTAAAAAGCAAAAACATTATCATTAATTACGTTTCTACATTTAACTTGAGGAATCTTACCATAATAATGAAATACAAACGATCAAAGAACCGACTTGTTGTCTATCTGGTGCCACTTGCCGCTGCTGATAAGTCTGCACTTGCATGGCCGGTCGTTCTACGGGGTGCACCATAGCGGCATCACCGGGAAGAACTGGAGGGTTTGATGCTAGAACACCACCAACCGATGGCCAATAAACCCAGTTTCTGGGGTTGGCTTGGGCTGCAGCGACGACACAGTTATCGTTAACAAGCCTTTCGTGTTGATCAACACTCCGGTTCTGGATCTGGTTTTGTTGATTATTATGATGATGACTGTGATTCCTATGGTGTGGTGCAAACCTTCTCTGCCTAGCCATCCTCTTCTTTCTCGCCTCCTTCGTCACGGATGAGCCCAACCTTACTAACCTTTGATCATTATTGTGGCCCGGAGCATACTGATACGTAAACTGATTCACGTAAGGAAAAGCAGAAGGCTGTTGAAGTGGAGCTTGATGAAGATTATTGTCCGGAAAGGAGTTGTATTGAGAAGCCAAAGCAAATTGTGAAGGTGCCCATGTTTGAACTGATTCCAGAATATGATAATCTGTTGGAGGATGGCAAGGGTGGTGGCTAGAAACTTTAGGTGCTCCATTTGCAAAAGGGTCACCCATATACCCAACTACCGGTGCGAAACCTGGCAACGGTGGCGCCGCAGCTGCAGCTGAGTCAATTGCGTAAGCTGGCTGTGGAATCCATGCCGGCTGAGAAAAACAAGAGTTTGGTTCGGATGGCAAGATAGAATTGCAGTTGAGGTTTTGGTTTGGGTTAGGGTTATAGTATTGGTAAGGGAGATTTTCTGTTGATTCTTTGAAGCGCCTTCTTTGAAGATGATTGGTTTGCACCCATTCAAGGATGAGCTTCAACAGCTGCTTCATGGCCTCTTTACCGCCACCCAAACGCCGGGCGGCGCACTCTATGGTGGCTTTCTTGATTTTAACTCTCCTCAAGTCCTCTGCCGATACGGTCTCTTTGTTGGTCTTGAGCCACTCCAAGAACACCGTGGCTAAATCATCTGTCGCTTTATGTTCTTGGGTCTGGCCGTCCTGGTTTTTTCTCTGCATAACTCCTCCTTGCTCTACCTGCTGTTGAGTCGACTCATGTTCTTGCTGCTGCTGCTGCTGCTGTTGATGATATTGTTGAAACTCCTCTAGACCAGTATCGTCGTGGTGAAATATAGAAGACGGATCGAAGAAGTCATTGTTATCTAGTAGATCCATATATCCAAAAGTCTCCATAACGTCCATACAATCAACACCATCCACGACGTTCTGATCCGGCGGCTGAGATATTTCCATGGACGCAGTTGAAGATAAAGCCGACAGATCATGCGGCCCATTGTGCTGCTGCTGCTGATGGTGATGACCATGATGCCCGTTATTCTTCCTCTCCGTATCTTCATCGGCATCCGACTTCAAAACTGCCCAAGAAGCCGCCGAAGACGAGGGAGAAGCAGTAGAAGCGGAGGAGGAACATGAAATGACCTTGACAGGTGCCGGAGTCGAAGGCGACGACGAAGAAGAAGACATGCAAGGGAAATCGAGTAGAGGAGGAAAATCGGCGTAGAAAATCGAAGCATCGTTAATATCGAGCAACTCGTCATCTTGCTGGCTATTATCAGGCCATATCTCTCTTTCTTCAACAACACTATCAAACCCTGAACAGTTTACTTCGTTTCCACCGCCTGCATGCAGATCTTCACTGAACATCTCTTCTAGCTGCTGCTGTTGTTCTACAGCTTTCATAATCAAATATCTCCCCTTTTTTGTTTCCCAAAATATAATAAAATAATCACTAATAGAGAGAGAAATATATAGATAGTGAAAGGATAGGGTTTTTTCTTTTCTGTGTACGGATAAAAGTGCAAACGGGGGAAAATATCAAAATATTGTATCTGATTAAGGAAGCAAAACAGTGCAAAAGGGCCCGCTTGAGCTATCAGAAAAGATAAAGAAAAACCTCAACAGATCGAAGCAACAAGCAACATAAACCATCTGCTTCCTTCCATGGATTCCATCGAAAATAATAAACAATTATCACTCCCCAGACCAAACAATTCTTTACAACAATAAGCACCCCCAAAGAATATATACCCTTTAGAAGCGAAAAAAGGAAAAGATAACGCTAATCGGAGCTTGTGTCGAAGAAGAAGATCATTTTAGAAGACACCCACATGTGTAAAACCTCAGAAAGTTGAAGCACCCATGTGTGTTTTTCTTTGGGGAGAGGTTTCAGAAGAGAACTTTGAATTTGTTACATATGGCTGAAACCCTTTTCTTCTGAAACTCTGTTGTGGTTTTGAAGATAAGTTCAAACTTGTTTTTTGGGGGCTTATACTTTATAAACAATGGATGATGGACCCAAGTGAGAGAGAAGGGAGGATTAATTAGTGGTAGAAAAAAGAAAGAAAAGAAAAAGAAACCGCAAGAGAAAAACAAAACCTCGTGCCGCTAGTTTCTCAACTCCGGATTTTGTGCAACCGGCCATGCGTTTTCTCTTGACTGGTGCCTACCAACGGTGCCTCAGTCTTCAAGTTCAAATTTTAACATGGAGAGGTTGATACCCTTTACTTTATTTATTTTTTTCCTTTCAATTTTCATTTCTTGCTACTTCTTAATCATGTCCAATCTTCAATTATCCACGTCGCTTCTTCTGATTCACGTATATTATTTATTCTCATTTTAAACAAACTCCAAATTTTGAGGTGACTTTCAATGTATGCATAAGATATGATTGTATTTTTAAAAATATTGTCCTCATTCACCTTTATTTACGTTTCATATTATAGTTGTGTTGAGTTATATTATTAGTGGATTTTTTATGCAAAATGGAATTTTAAAAATTTAGTACGGTAGGTAACTCTACGTAACGCGTGCCCCAGTATTAATCCTTGTGTGAGATGGAAAGCACATCGTCGGGTGGTTGCATGAAATAAGAACATCCTACTCACTTGTTAAGTCCCAATTTGACCTTCGGATTAGCTAGTTGATCACCCTTCCGATAAGCATTCACCATTTAGATCTCACATGGTAGTTGTAATAGTCTTTTTGTGCGATGCAGATGATAATCAGATTATCCTTTATTACTGAGATCATTAATAACCTCTTACTCGAATAAGATTAATATGTTCACACGAACGGAATGATCTCAATAATAAAAAATTATTGTTATTTTTTAGGTTTCGAGTCTGAACACCAAGAATATTAAAAGTATGAGTCTTTAATGTCCAAGGGTCGTTAAGTTTTATTTTTATCCAATAAAAATATTATTTTAAAACTCTTTTTATTTAAGATGAACAGTCACACTGAATATGAATTATAGTGTTGATTATTTTTAATGTTTTATGTTCACTTAAGATGACCGTTCAGTTATTGATATTGTGCATGAGCCTTGCTTTAAACTGAAGAGAGAGAAAAATAAGACAATCTCTTTGGATTGAAAAGATAAAACAAGAGAGAAACTTATGCATAAAATATAAAAACCAAATAACTCATTGTGGTACAGCTGTTACCATTTATTTACGTCAGATAATGCTGAAAATCTTGCTGTCAATATTTTTTTTCCCTTTTTCTTAAATAGGATGGACCCAAGTTCATTGAAACTTGGTATTTGGCACACAAGAAATTTTATTTTGGAGCGTTACGTTCAGACTTTAAACCATATATACAAATGCAGTGGAAAGAAACAAAATGAATGATGCGATTTTATAACAGAAAATTATCATCTAATTTGTCTATACGTAGGTTCAATAACATTATAACGTAAGTATCGTATATTTTCATCTCAATAATTAAATAAATATTATATATATAACATAAAAAAATACATTAGTTCAACAGCAAGCTTTATGATAAAGAAAACTCTGGAAGTCGTAAATTCTAACCAATCAGAGAAAATTGAGATTAAAAATGGACCCACGGGGAGGGATTCGTGAGTGAAGCGGCGGAGGTCTCATGTTGAAGACACGTGTCGCATGCACATCTGATGTAAACCCTTGTGCCTATTATTCTCTACCACCACCAATAATAATTTATTTATTAATTAATTACATAAAAGCAAAGAGGCATTATTCTTCTTCTTCTTCCTCCTTTCCAAGTCTGATATCCTGTCTGCTGGTATTGTGCAGGCAAACGATAGGTTAATATTATGCGATTCCTCACTTACTCGACTCGACTCAATTCAACCCACTATGTTCACCCATGGTGGTACGTTTCCAATTCTGACAGACTCGTAGGGTTCTGCCACTTTTCTCTGATTCATCTTTGTTTCTTTGGGGGTATTGGATTTGGATTTTTTATTGGATATGGTCTTGGAATATTATTATCACGTACCACACATATCATTGATCATTTAATTAATTATTAATTTTATTTTTATTATCGATCTTTTAATTTTATCAATCAGATCATTTAACTATTTAATTATAAGTCACTGACAATTAATAAAATTAGTATAATTCTACATTTAATCCTTAATATTTGTATATTTTATCAATTTATTCCTATTTAATTTAATAAATTTAATCTTCTAATTAAATTGTGACATGTGTCAACATCTCATCGAAGATTTTCTATAATTTATATTTATTTAATTTAATTTTTTTTTATGATACATATCACTATCTGATTGGATAAAAAACAAGTAGAAAAGCTAACAAATAAATACAGCAGATAAGGGAATTAAACCCGAGTATACAAGAATGAAAGCAAAGACTTTTACCACTAAACCAATCTCAACAATTATGTCATGAAATACACAATAAGATATATATATTGATCGATATTTGCATATTAGAACATTGAAAAGTAAATCTTAAATTTGGATATTAATTGCATATATTTTATAAGTTAGTACAAGATTTTTTTTAATATTTATATATTTTTATGAGTCACTAGAGGTTCCAGATATTGTATAATCTTATCGAGCATAAAAACACAGATCTTCAGTATACCGATAGAATGCCAGAAATTAAAATGACTATTGAAAGAGTTCATTAGTTGACATGATCATCAATTATTCAGAATGAGATTTATCAGGTTCATAAAGTATTGGGACATTTTTTGGAGACACTAAAGAATCAGAAAGATATTCAGAATCCTTTACATCAGAGTTACTTGTGTTTTCATAAATGACCAGAGAGATTCCATTATTCAGGAAAATTTGAAGCATTTTGGCCATTAGATTCTTGGAGGATTCAAGTTATTTGAGCTAAATAAATGAGAAACGAAGATTTAAAGCATTTACGATTTGTGTTGACCTATTGGAATATCGAGTCAACCTAAACTATACTAGTCCCATCAATGATACCTGTTAACCGATCAAATCGTTGCACTTCCAGAGTATTCACTTTTTGATACATACAATTCTTGACATATTGATCATCTTCAAAATCATGGCGGAAAGGATCTTAGGGACGATACATCATGTAAGTTCGTCAGCGATTACAGGCTTATCCAAGTCACTCATTTAACCCTAGGTCATTCAGGGTACTTACGTCATATAATATAGTTATTTTGATATTCGAGGTTGATTTGTTCAATTTAGATTTGAGGGTATTAGTTATTCCAAGGCTTGGATGTGCTTTGAATCATCTTATACTTCAGGGGAATTCCAAATAAATCAGAAGTTTAATCGGTAATTCCAAGATTCCAATAGATCATGATATAAATTCTCAGGTCGTCTCCATTATCATAGTCATCCATATTACTTTTTACTTTTTGAAGGTATTATCGTCATTTCATTCAATTCTGTCAGTGGCATTACTTTGGGTAACACCAAAGATTATGAGGACTCATAAATAATTGATCGAACATTTTACTTATTTACACCCATACTTTAATTATAGTTGCTTACCAGGATTATGAGGAATCATGTATAAAAAGAGTGTTCTAATTTGGTAGATGTGGACATCAAAATAAACATGGCCACCGCCAAGGCCCAATCAAATGTGGTCCAATAAGCCTGTTGTTATTCAGTTTAGTGTGCAACGTTGGACTACACCAATGGGCCTAGCCCAATATCTGTTCGTTTGGATCAAAATCAAAATCTGCACATTGTTGAGATATCAAATTGATCATTTATCTTTTATATTTATGTACTTTTTCTTATCAAATTTGAACAAAGAATTATATTTCAGTCATTTATGTTATTGATTTATTAAATTTTAATCACTTAAATTATTAATTGTTACAATTTGGTCATTGAACCGTTAACATAATGTCACATGTTGGTCAAAAGGGGTTAATCTTTAATTTGACCTTTGAACTTTAGATGGAATATTAATTTGACCCTAAAGCTTAGATAAAATATCAATTTAAACCTTGAATTCGATCAAAATCTTCCATGTCGATCGATACTTACCACCGTGGCTGTTGGCCGTCATCCGACACCAGTGATCAGAACAAGGATGTGAAAACGCAAGTTGGTGGCGGTGGTGGGGCTATCATTGTAATAATAGGAACAAAACAAGGAGCAACCTCATCAATTAGGTGAACTGGATGTATGCCTCTTTTTGGTCTGTGTATGACGGATGAGTGGTCTTTCTCATAATGTTGACCAAACTGCAGTTTCCTTCTTCCTTCATTGTCTGTATCTCACATGTTCACACTGCTCCTATGCTCCTGCCCTTTAGTTCCAGTCATCGTTAACTGTGGTTTTTTTATTAAAAAAAAAGAAAAAGAAAAGAATTCATAGTTTAGGAGGGGAAAAAAAGAGAGAGTTATAGATGTTTCGAGTTCGAATTAAATTTCAAATTCATCAATAGGATTTTGTTTTGTTATGGGTGTTTAGAGGATACTCATTGTCCCAATATTAATATTGATATTAGACTTACGGGATTGACAGGGAGAATACGGTATCTATGTAAATTTTAAATTCAGTTTAGGTAATTTTATATTTAAAACTTATAATTTTACATCCTTTAAAATGTTAATTTAACTTTTTAAATTTGTACATCTGAGAGAACAACTTGGATCCTCCCTTACTATAGTCGACCTACACTATTTTCTGCAGATCTTGATGAAGGCTCCACATCATACCTATAATGTCAGCATTTCTAGGTTGGGGATGGCCACATTGGGGAATATTGATGTCAAGCTCAAAAAGAACTGAAAAAAAGGAAACAACGACATTTCTTATGCACCTTCTTTGGTGTGAGAGAATTGGAGGAAAGTTGAATGCGACCTATAAAAAAAAAGTAAAGAGAAAAACGACTATTCACTCCTTTGCACTTTTTTGGGGGTTAAGAAAAGAATCGGTTTACAAGTTGAAACCCAAAGTGAGACAAAATTCAAACCCTCTTCTTAATATCCCCGCCTTTGTCATGCTTAAAATTCTCTTCTCGTGAACCTAACATACGCGTTGAAAATGGACCCCAATTCTATCAATAACTTTAGAGAAGAGATTCTATTACACTAACAAAACTTTAGAGAAGGTAAGAACCTTTCCCTGAGTGATCCCTAAGTAGAATTGTCAACCTGTAATGCACAGGAACAAGGTTTTTATGTTATGACAAAGTCAAAAAGAAATACACAAGCAACCAACACTCCACCACATATCAGATAATACATTCTGCCAGCAGTCCCAGAGTTGCTGATGCTGCCCATAACTTGTAAAACTTTTTAGTGCTATCTTCCCATGTCACCTTCACCGTATCACCCAATGAAAGTACATTATAAATCATCCATGATTAAATGTTGGTAAACTTTTAATTGCGGCCATGTAGATCCTAATCCCACGAAAAGATGTACTATCTTCTTATTCCCCATATGCATTTTTTTTTTCAACAACCATCTTTTAATAATGGAAAGCTAGAGAATAATGTACCTACCTGATGGGTGATTCTCAAGATTATCTGCTCCCTTGCTGGTGCCTGGTCTACTAGAACTTGGCTGAGCCATGGTTTGATTCTGTAAAAGGTGAAATTTGTATCACTACTTACTTTCTCGTAAACAATTGTGATGTTTCAATGTTATTAAAAGTTGGTGTGATTAAAGAGTTTTGTTTATTTTCTATTTTGCAAAGGAAGTTGTAATGCAGGGGGATGATATTTATAAAGATAAGTTTTGAGGGAAAATAATATAATAGATGTGAAGCCATAAGTTTGGTAATGGTATGCTAATTAACTGTACCTGTGGAGAGGGTAATTGCATCGGGTGAAGACCAATATAATACTGCTGATAAGGATCGGAAAATTTTGGGACACAAAGCTGCTGATTCGGGTTTTGCATGCTAAGCGGATTTAACATGGTGTCTGACTGATTGTTTGGTTGGATTCTCGATGGATCGGTAGGTGGAGCAGGTGGTGCCATATGAAAGGCTGGCATTGGAAACCTTGGACCCAAATGAGCAGCAGAAGCTGGCGTTGGTAAAGGTGAGCCAGCCAAAACATTGGGAAATGGCGTCATTGGCCTTCCTATATCCATGCCCATGCCAGTCCCCATTCCCATTGTTGGCATGTACTGCTGAACACCAGGAAACATCATTGGAACCATGCCACAACCCATGGACATCATCTGCAGGATGTTTAAAGCAAAATTAAGTTTGTAGTAAATAATGTGCAAGGTAATTCTTTAAGACATAAAACATTATACTAGAATTCAAACAAAGAAAAAAAAACAATTCACTAAATAAAATGCGAATAGAACATAACAATCATATCCTAGTTTAGTATGTGGAAAGTTACAAGAGTGGAAGAGAAGCGAGAATCGAGTTTTATGGTTAGTATAAGCTTTATAATTTTTAGAATTGAAGAAATATGATCATTATTGATTGGTAAAATAACTTTTATAAATCTAGTAAAATGCTTTGTGTCATAAAGTATAAGTTTTAGGAAGTAGAGGCTCGAGGAAGAAGATGTCTAATGAATTATGTTATCTCCAGCATAAGAACGTTAGAACCTATACAGGAGTCAAGGAAATACTCCATCTACTTGCTTAGTTCTCAGGGTGGCTAACTAAGATGGTGTCAGACGAAGAGTACAAGAGTGAGGCATATCGAACATAACCATTTGCAAATAGTCGTGGCTTTTCCTGTAGAAGTTAATCATGAAGCATATCGAACAAAATTTCCTTCGAACATGTACATGAATGAGGTACTGATCATGCTCTGATTCTATTTTTTTCATTGGTGTTTCCATCTAACAATCCTAGGTAGCATTCTCATTATTGGAGGGCACAATCCCATCATACATGTTCTCAACCTAGTCTTGTTCTCGTTTCAGGAAAAAGAAGGAAAGTAGAAACTTCAAAATATAGAAAAATATTCATGTATATCAAGTAAAATCATGTTCCCAAAAGAAATCTTGCCTCTTGGCTCTTGAGTTTGATGGTGTTTGGTGAATCTTATTATCTTTTCCTCACTTCAATGGTGAAGTCCCTATAATTTTCAGTTCCATAAACATCCAAAATAAGGCATTTGAAAGATTGTTCATTAAGGGCTTCCAGTGCTTTAGCATCAAGTCTAACATGCTTCAAAAACAAAAAAATATTTCTCCAAAGGACAATAACCCAACCAAATCACTCTTTGGTACTACTTTTTCCATAGAATTGTAAGAGCAAACAGCAAAATAATCTCTCATGTATGTCAGTAACTATAAGCAAATAGTACCTGAACTTGCAACTGAAGTGACTTCAAGTACTCAATAGCTTCATCCAGCATCGAGGCTTTGTCGGACTGAGACACAGAAACATGAAAATATGTCAATAGCAGCAGAGCAAATGACAAATAAACCAGGAAAAACATATCCTCTATGGTAAATGCAAATACAATGGAATATAAGACATGTGACAAACCTTGTTGCAACGAGGTATAAGTTCTTGCAAAGCCCTCATCTTTTCATTTATCCTATCTCTGCGTCTCTGTAAATGGTTGACATGTTACACCTCTAAAGGAATGTAATTAAAGAAAAAAAAGACCAAATTCATCAACAGAACTATAATGTTATAGAGCACTGACCCTTTCTGAAAGGTTATGGACCTCTGCAGCACGAGACCTTTTTGTTGATGTGGATCCACGCGTTTGTTTCTTTGTCTCAGGGGATTCAAATTCAAAATCCTTTGGCACCAATAATATTACATTTATAAGTAAAACTATTTTTTTGGGAAATCAAGTGAGGGAGAACATAATTAAAGCTTAGAAATAAGATTTCCTTTTGCATCAGCTACCTGTTTTTCGTGTTTTTTCTTTCTTAATTAGGATGAATTATGGTGCTGTAGTAAAAATCTAGCATTGCACTGTTTTATTTTTCTCTATTCAGACACCTATATATTATTGCATCAAAGAAAAGAATATTGTTTGATTAGTATTAAGTATGTTAAACAACAACATTCAATGTTGAAACTAACCCATGTGTATTGAAATAATGTCTTTTATATCCTAGTATAAAAAGTCTGACCCATTCAGAAAATCCCATGCAACCAATTAAATTAGGAAATCTAGGATACGCACCGTCAATCCAAAAATAGTGTTTTTGCTAAATGACACTGTTTAATGTTAATCAATATATTATTATTTATGATAATGTTTTTTATTGATCATGATGATCAATATTTTTTTTTTTTGTAGTGGTTTTTATTGATTCATGGTGTGCTCTAAATCTAGTACACCTAGGGACAAAAAAGAAGGGCGCTTATGTTAAACGTCGTCAACAGCCGGCGCATGTTAGCCGAGACAGATCGAATTTTTTTTAACTCCTATGAACTTACTAACCTCGCGGTGACATTCGGCGTCGTCCAGTTCTCTTCCTTGACGCTTCCGGTCCTCAGCCGGTGCAGCCTTTTGAGCCGTCGGTTCAGCACTGGCACTTGAGCCGCCAGGGGATGATGTCACCGTGACCTCGAACGAGTCTAAATTGTCTTTGCTGGCACTCCCGCTGACTCCAGCGGCGACGCTCATGTTGGCGCAGTCAGTGTTGTTGTTCCCGCCAGATGCCCCCTCAGTGTTGCTCGGCATGGCCCAAGAGGCCCCTGATTCGGGAGCCATCGTCGGAGTATCGCTGGAATCAACGACCGTTGATTCTCTGACAGCGCTCTTAAAATTCGACGGTGCAGATTGCTCCGCCCTCGTCGCTTTATTCGTGGAGAAGTGAACGAAGTTCTGGATCCTCGATGACTCCAACTCATTCCTCCTCGACGGCGGTACCGGGGGCCTAGAAGCCGAAGCTGAAAATTGAGAAACTGTTCCGAGCGGAGGTGGAGCGGATGAGGTAGTAGCGGTGACTGAGGTAACGCAAGGGGCTGCCGCGGCGGAGGAAGGATAGAGGAGGTCAGCACAGAATTCGCGGTCGAAGCTAGCGTCGCCGAGAGGATAGTGAAGCCATGAAGCCATTTCATCTTCTTGCATGAAGAGATGATTTTCAGTAAGCAATTGCTGCTGCTGCTGTTGTTGATGATGATGGTGATATGAAGAAGACCGGATCTCTCTGGGAGCTGATTGGTTGGAATCCTGGAATTTGAAGGGCGGCGATAGTTTTGTAGATCTTTGATTTTGACTATGCATAACAACTTGACCGTTTTGCCACAACAGCTCCATAACTTCATCCTCTGGTCTGTTTCACAATTCAATCAGTTTGTCAATTCAAAATTCTGAAAATCAACAACAAGAAATAGATTAAAAAAGAAAATTAGATATAGCTTACATGGAAGGCTTTTTAGAGCGAGTTAAACTAGAAGAAGGGATTGAATCATCGTCTTCCATTTCGGAATCTGGAACACAGTGATTCATCCTGTCTCTTTAACACTAAGCTGTATATAAATAATAATAACCCAAGCAAATCAAGAACAATAACAGAGCAAACAAATCAACGAAAAGATTAAAGAGAAAGACAGAAAGAACAGACGCAGTCAGAGAAATGTTTCCAGAAAAGCTAGCGTTATGCTTGTTGCTGCTGTGCGAGGAGAAACCCCTAGAAGCAGAAGTGCAATATGCTTAAAAATTCAAAATCCACGAAAAGGAACAAAGCTCTCCAACGTTGTAGTGTGTGTTATATATATTTCTGGCAGTGGAGAAAAAAGAAAATAAAACATATAAGCAGGAGAAGTTTTTTTAAGGGAGAGAACAAAGAAAAAGATAATCTGCAGTATATTTTAGTGTTTTCCGCTTCTCCTTTTTCACCAAAGATAAGATCCTCTCTTTATCTCCCGAATATGGAGTTATTTTGACAGTGGGATAGTACCAACGCTCTATTTGTTCTTATTAATAATCAGATGCCCTCAAACCAAAAGCTTTGTTTTATTTTTGCTACCTGTTCTTTCCCCTCAGATTGACGGTAGTGGTTTATGTGTGTAGTCCTTCGATTAATAAATTCCATTAATTATTATTTATAAAGATTAATTTATACAGTTCAACACCTGCACAGGAGCAGCTGTCTTTGATGCAAGTCAAGTCGGTTTCTCTTTATTTATATTTATTTAAAGTTATAATTATTGAGTTCCATGCTTTTGACAAATGAAACGATGATTTCGTCGCTGCTAAACAGGAACCGCATTATATTATTTATCTAGTAGTTTTAGAATCATCTTTATATGAAAAAATAATAATATTTAACAGTAAAAATAACTAAAATTTTAATTGACTCATTCTCTCAATTTAAAAACCTCATGTACCCTTAAACTTTAAACTTAAATACAATCTCAAATATTTAAATTTATTAAAACGGGTTTACTTTAAGTAGAAAGTGACAATTAACGGTAAACTGTCTTGTGATGTAAAGTTAATTGTTTTTTAATGATTAATCATTCTCCTTTTCTTTATTAGATAAGATGGTACTCTGTCATTTGTCAAGAATCTCCTTCTAATACTGTTAATTTTACCCATTTAGATTTTGTTTTGATATGGGCCGTTGTTGAATTTATATGTTTTTTTATTTAAGCTAAGCTATAAGTTGGGTCACTTTTTGTTTCGGTTTCTATCTGATTTTGATCTTCAATTTTAAAAATGTATCTTTTGATCATTTTTATTATTAATTTATTATATTTTAATTTATGAACAGTTAACTCGTGTTATTTTGATAACGTGATATTTAAATATTAGGTTATTTCTATTTACTTAAGACATAATGATAAGATTAGTCCTCAAAGGTTCATTATTTTTAATACCATCCTTAATGTTTAAAAAATTTAAAAATATTTACTAATTTTTAGACTTTAATTTATTAAAGACTAATTGACGTACATAACATGAAATTTTTAAAAAATATATTTTTCAATTTCTCTTTATTTCCATTTCATTTCATCTTCTATAAACACGACCATCTTGGAATGCTTCTTAATTATCAACTTTTTTAATCTTCTAAATTTTCTCGTTGAATGTGGGTTGAGCTTAAGTTAGATTCTGATTAGTGTAATGTACTAAAACCTTGTCCATTAGTGGATACTCTGTGCTCTCCACCACCCAAATATCCTTCAAATGTTCCTTTGTGAGATTAAATACTATTTTCTCAAACCTCGAGTTTTTCTATAAACAAATTTCGTCTAACATCGTACCCAAACTGCCTAATGTAAACACTGATGAATATATTGTTTCAATCAACTATTCCTTGAAGTAAGATTGAATGTACGAATCCAAGTTTGATCTCGAAAAAGAATGCTCACAGAAGTTTGTAGGGACAGAGTTATATAGGGAGTGGGTTATATAGGGAGTGGGAGGGGGCTAGGGGTGTTCATTCGGTTAAAACGGTGGCCGATCGAACCGAAATACCCTTAACCGAATTAACCAAACTTTTTTTTCTTTAATCGTTAACCGAACCGAACTTTTTTTTGAAAGTATTAATCGAACCAAATAAATTTCGGTTAATTCGGTTAATTTTCGAAATAACCGATTTTTTTTAGAATTTTAGAATTTAATAATTTTTAATTAAAAAAATAATTTACAATTAATTTAAATAATATCTAATTATAAATAATATCTAATTAATTTGATTCAAACATCTGCATTTAGTTTTGATTAAAACATTTGCATTTATCCACAACCCTACAATTCTACAAGATACACAATGAAGAAAGACCTAATGCAGCATATGAATTTCTTTACTTAATCCTAACAAGCTACACTTTCCTGGTGTCCTATCTAGCGTCATTAGTTAAGGTTCTTAAATATTCCTCCAGCAATAATCCGTATGGTCAGACCAGGATACCACCTTTTAGGTACTGCCTCTATTTAGCTCCATTTCCATATGAATGGCCTGCAGGCAAATATTCATGCAAATGGTTGGAAAAACAATTCTTGGGGGAAACAATGGCTACACGTACAAATTATAAACCATCAAAGAAACCAATTCTTTTGTTCTTAACTTGCAATGTAAAAGGTAACACCATATACATGTATCGAGATCTCGGATGTTAGTGTGGCGAAGAAACTAATGCGCCAGCATGTGCGCAACCTTCTCCGTGTTCTCAGCCCAAGAGAGAGGAAGATAATCAGGCTACAGTTTGGTATCAAAGACAGTAGAGAGAATTCTATGTCCAAGGTTGGAAACATGCTCGGATTGTCGAAGGAAAAGGTGAGGCAGCTGGAGAGCAAGGCATTATACAAGCTAAAGCAATGCCTTGTCGAACAGGGACTTGGTACATATGCAGATTTGGTTACTTAAGTATATATAGAGATACATACATATTTGTTTTGGGTTGAAATGTTCATCCGAGGGCATGAATTAATTCTGTTGTTAGCTAAAGAATAGCCTATATAACCTAGATTTAGTAATGCTTTTTAGAATGTAATGCTGCTGCCTCACGCCCTCACCCATGCTCCACTCCACTATACACTTTTGCCCATGCTCCACCTGCCCATACCTTACACAAATCAAGGCAGAAAATAATTGATATCTGAGGAGCACATGAAGGAAGCGGGGAGCAGTATATCATGGGATTAAAAAAATATTAAAAAATATTTAAGGGTTAATTCGGTTAATTAACCGATTTTAAACCGAATTAACCGTTAACCGAATATCCAAAAAATCATTGACTGTTAACCGACTGAACTAATTCGGTGGCCGACCGAATTAACCGAACTAATTCGATTCGGTCGGTTAACCGAATTAGTTCGAAAATTTGAACACCCCTAGAGGGGGCTATTGCTTCTCTCAAAAAATTTGGTTTAATAGCATTTTAGGTCCTTATCAATATAAAGTTAAGTAAAATTACATTTTTGTTCCCTAATATTTAGATTAAATACGTAATAAGTCATTATTTTGAAACTAAGTATATTGCCCCTCCCAATATTTGGTCATGGCTCCATCCCTAAAAGCTTGAGAGCGTAAAATTGTCCAACTCGACTCGAAATAAAAAATTGAAACTTGATTCAACTCGAAAGAGCGAGCTTAAAATTTGCAAGCTTGACACAAAATAAAAAATTGAAGTTCAACTTGAGCTTGAAAAAGCTTGAACTCAAAATATTATCAAGCTTGGCTTAATTGAAGCTCAACTCTATTCAAGCTCGAACTTGACTTCGAACATGAATCTTAAGTACATGAAAGTCTTATATTGTATTTTTTTTATAAAAAACAACATATAAATGTTAATAGTATTAGTAATTTATTTTTTTTTTAAATTAATATATTATTTGTTTTGAACTGCTTGTGAGCTTTTTGAATTGGGTATCAAGTAGCTCGTTTTGACTTGTTAAAAACTTGAGTCAAATCCATTCATTTTTAGTGTTGATCGAGCTTTGACTGAGTCAAACTCAAATAGCTCGTCATTTGTCTCATCTCATTTGCAGTCATATGCACATAAGGCTAGGAAAAATGTACACGTGTTAATAAATTATATTTTAATAATTTATAATTAAATTAACACTTGATTGATCAATCATACCAAATTAATTAAAAATAATAATGATATACATAGTTGTATTATTGGAATAAAGAAATAAAAAGGAGGAATGATATGAATGTGGAAGTTGTTGGGAAATAGGATAAGGAACATGTTTTATTTCTTCATATGGGAGACTGTCCCTTCACACTCGGGCATATTCTAAGACATAATTTCATCATTTTTCTACTCTTAACTTCTCTCACCTCTTTACCTTTCTCTCTCATTCCTTTTTTTTATGTTTTCAAAGATACAAGTACTTAACTCAGATCTATTAGACCTTCAATTTATTTTTTTAATATATTAAAAGTTTATGATTATGAAAGATAAAGTGGAGTTGAATCAATTGATCTAAAAGCAATGAAGTGGCAGTGTCAAAACTTAATTATATAGTTTAGTGCTCCAGTTGATTTATGATTTTTTTAATATTGGAATTAGAAAAAAAAAATGTAAATATTGTGTAAATGTATATTTTTTTACATGAGTGTAAAATGAAATAAGAACATATTTGGAAAATCCTAGGTACATCTTATTATTTCTGAAACATCAAACTGACAGTACAGCTATCCTTTTTCTGCAGTGAAAGGATATAAGCATGGTGTTTTTGTAGGGCACTTTCCCATCTTTTTGAAGTAAAGGTGATTAAGGATAATATTTTCACTGTCAAAACAAAAGGCCACCATGATGTGTAAAGTGCACGCTTTTCAAAGGGGGGACAAAAAAAAGCTGTTATACAAAGGGAAATATTCAATTTGGGAACACCATACGTATAGTTTTAGTATAAAATAATAATACCAATAATTGATTAACTAAAAGGAGGAGAGAGATAGTATACATATTCTATTAGAATCATTGGACTACTATGGATGGATTAAGTCTAGTCTAATTATACTACTAACATATTGGAATTATTTAATAATAAATATTTTAGCACTATT